TCCTCCGGAACCGCTGCGGCCGCTTCCTCTCCATTTCAATAAGGTGACATATTCGACACCAACCCAAAGGGCTTCACCTGTGGGACTCAACAGGACACTGCCAAATCCTGCTCATTAGCAAAGCGACCATCAGAAAGCAAAAGCAGGGTCATGAAAAACACCTTCGTGCTCCCCCCCCAGACCAGGCAGAAATGAAGAAGCATAAAAGTGCATTCTCATCCTGTGCCAAGTCTCCTCCAAAGGCCCGTCTGCTTCTGCTCTAGCATTTCAGAGGAGCAAACAGAAAACCACCCTTCCCCCCAAAGCCACCATAGCCTCCTTGCAGCACGGGGAGGGGGGGAAATCAAAGAAGTAAAAATCCCACAGAACTAACCCACCTCTCAGTTCGTTTGCATCTGCAATGGCCTATAAGTTTAACAGTAAATTCTACACAGCAGCCAAAAACTAGAAGAGTCACCTATTTCCTACATCCATCTGTGTGCAACAGAGAATTCAGGTTCCCAAGAGGCAAATAAAGTTCCCATGTTTTCCCTAGAGGATTTCTGTGATGGAAACAATGTTCCTACGGGCGTCTGCTGTCAACAGTTTTTAATCGATCATCATTACCTTGTAATAACAATTCCTGGGAGCAGGAACTGCTAGCTCAAGTACGCTATTATTAAATTAAGAGGCTGCTTCAAAGATGTAAACCAGCTGGGGTTTGGGTTAGCAGGTAAAAAGAGACACTGCTTGGAGGAGATGGAGGGGAAAAAAGATGGGTAGAAGTCATTTTCCCAGGTGTAACTCAACCGCTTCCCGGCTATTGTTTCCCTCCCTGGGAATCTGTGCAAATTGAGCGAGGAGCCGTGCAAGCTGCTCAGAGCGCGCCCATTTTCCTTCCCTTCTTCCCTAACAAAAGAGCCTTCCACAGCCCGGCGTCGGAGGCTGGACATCTGTCGCCGTTTGGGGGGGCCGGCGTGGTCATTGAAAAGAAGCAGTGACCTGTCAGCTTTGATTGATGGCCACAAACCTCCAGGCTCGACCCCTCGTGTGGGAAAAAAAGTCCCGCCAAGGAAAGTCCCCTTTCACATGCTAATTCTGGGTTATAAATACAGCGGAGGAGCAGCGGAGCAGCAAAGAGCCTGTGGGGAACGGGAGCGACCCACCGCCCAAGTGCCTCCGTCCCATCCCTTCCCATCCCATCCCACCGGTGCGGGCAGGCTGGATTACAATGACCGCCGCAGCCACCCACAAGCTCACCAGCACCAAGGAGGAGAGGAAGGTAGGTCCCCTCCACGCTGGTGCTCCCACGCGTGCCCGGTGGCAGCCCCACGCATGGCACGTGAAAGATGGGTGCTGGGGCTACGGGCACCGCTTCTAGGAAAGAGAAAGGGGCTAATTTTTTTTTGCTCTTATTATAAAGATGCTTTCTCTGAATTTAAGCCACGCGAGTGCTTTTTCTGCTTCCTTTCTCCACCTTAGAAAGGTGATTCTCTATTTCATTTGGGCAAATCTGCTTAAAATGACTGGAAGTGAGAGAATTGAGAGCTGATACCATCTAAGGCTCAGGGCATGAACAGAGCTGGAGAGGGCGCACTCTCCACCCATACCTTGTCCCCGCCGAGGACTGTGTCACCCTGCGCCGGCTTCCCGCAGGGGATAGGGCTCTCTGCCCTTGCTGAACGGCAGCAGGGAGAGGAGGAAAAAATACCAATTGCAATTTTTCCTCCTCCTTTTCTTTTCCCGGCCAGTTAAGGAAACCCCTCATTGAACGGAAGCGAAGGGAAAGGATTAATAACTGCTTGGACCAGCTGAAGGAGACTGTTGTGGGTGCATTTCATCTGGATGTAAGTGCTCGTTTTTATGCTGCTTTTTGTCCTTTTGCTGGTGGGGGATTGTTTTTTTGGGGGACTGTCTCACTCTTTTGAGAAACTGGGTATGGTACAAATCCTTCGTTGCCTCTAACTGCCGCGCTCTTTCCTTATCAGCAGTCTAAACTGGAAAAAGCAGACATCCTCGAAATGACGGTGAAGCACCTCCAGAACATCCAGAGCAGCAAGCTGATGGGTGAGTGCCCTGTCCCCCCATCCTGTGAGCGCGGGCAGCGCCGGGGCAGGGGCGTGCCAGCAGGTTTCATCTGCTGGCAGCTTGGCAAAAGCATCTTTCAAACCTGTTGAGGCCCCGGGCTGCCGCTCGGGTTTGGCTTTCTCCACTAGATGGGGAGATGGAGCCGGGCACCGCTTAACCCACGGAAGGATTTTTCCTTCCAGAGTCGCTTTCTGCTTTTTGGTCTAGTTTTGCCCTTGGTGGTGGGCAGCAGGACGTGAGAGCTGCCTGCCTGGGTGCCTCATGCCCTGCATCACCTTCCCCCTGCGCCCTGCAGGCGATCAATAGAATCCTCTAGGTTGGAAGGGATCTTTAAGATCATTGAGTCCAACCACGAACCTAACACTGCCCAAAACACCACTAAATCATGTCCCTCAGCACCATGTCTACCCGTCCTTTAAATACCTCCAGGGATGGTGATTCCACCACTTCCCTGGTTGGATTCACCTTACAGTAGAGCTCACTCAGCCCATAGCCAGCACAGCCAATGAGCCCCCCAGGAGCTCCGGCAGAAGGGAACCCGGTGAATGCTCTTCACCAGGAACGTGCCGGTCAGCTTTTACCCGCTCACCAACTCCCCTTGTCTCCTCTCCAATGCAGCCGACTCCAAAGTGGGTCTGGAAGCCCAGCAGAGGTACAGCACCGGGTACATTCAGTGCATGCACGAGGTGCACAACCTTCTCCTCACCTGCGAGTGGATGGACAAGACCCTCGGGGCACGCCTGTTAAACCACCTGCTGAAATCCCTACCCAGGTCCGGTGAAGACACCTGCAAAGCAGCACTAAGGTCTTCAAGCCCATCTCAGCAGCCTCTCTTGACACCAAAAAGCGCCCTTAGCCCGAAGGGGAGCACTCAGGGCACAAACCCATCCCAGGAGCGCTTCTACCCCGCAGAGAACAAGCAGGCTTCGAAAAATTCCTTCCAGCTGCCGTCGCTGTCGGTTTTCAGCCAGGTCGATGCTGCACCTCCCAGACAGGTCCTGCAGCCAAATTTTTCCCATAACAACCCTAGAATGGGGTCATTAGATATGTGGAGACCGTGGTAAAGTGTATTTTTTAAAAGTTTATCCTAACCTTAGACACTCTTACGTATGTATCTTATAGATATGTTTCTTTAAAACACTTGTGGAGCAAGTCTGTTCCTGTAGGTGTACTAAAGACCAGGGTACTTCAAGCCGAAGTAAACCTATGTGTAGCCTGCATTGTAGAAGGCTGCTATTATTTTTTATTTATTTAATACATCTAAATTATTGTATAGAATCCTCTCCTGCTCTTTAGTGTATATTAATTATATAGCTTTCTTGTCTCACATTCTTAAAGTCATTAACTTCCTATTAATAAAAATACAGGACAACAAGCAAGCCTCTCTGGCATCAGGCTTACCTCTCAGGTCTCATGTAAGCCACTGAGATCACTTTGTTGGATAAAGAGGTAAACAGCCGATCTCTTCTGCTTTTTATTTTTATTATTATTCCTCTGCAGCTGCAGGAGATTCCAGTTTTGATTCCTGTAAAAATGCTGCAGCGATTAGAAAAAAAAGAGAGAAAGGGAGAGACTTGGTTTGGAGTTTTTAGACTGTTTAGAAATGCTCTCTGGATTGCTCACTCTGGCTGTGCTGTTCCCGGCCACCTGGACATCCTGACATTACTGTTAAACTAGAGAGCTACTTGTATATATGTATGTTACAAATAGTTATATTTAGGGATTATTTTGTTGTTTCCGTAACTAAAAGTTCTAAATAAACTTTTTGAAAATAACGACTGATATTTCTCCCAGCCTTGTCCTGTCTGCTCTGAATAAACAGTACCTGCGGATCTGCTTCTTCTTTCTTCTTTCACAAACCATTTTTCCTAAAGAGATGGTTTGGGGTTTGCCCCTGATGCTTTGCAGAAAAAGCAGTGTGCGACACACACATACACACACAAAGAGGATCATATGGATCACAGCAACACTTAAAAAGTTATGGAAGAATTCAGGGTTTATCAGTCTGGATTGATGCTTTAGCTTTCACTTAGAAGGGAATCACAGTGACAATCTAAAGGGCAGAAGGTAAAATTCCCTGCAAATTGGACCAGGGAGACTGGGGCAAATCTGCTCGGCTCCTTGGCGACATTTGGTCCCAGTTTTTCATCTCAAAGGCAGTTAAAAGTTCTTCACGACTAAAATAAAAGAGCAAGGAGCTCTTAAACAAATACCGAGCATACTAATTAATGGACCAGCAGTTCAGAGGGGCTCATTATGCAGCGAGATCTATTTGATGATGTACCGAAGGAGTGAAAACCATCACCTCTGGGTTTAGCACCTTTTTCTGTGAAGCTCTCCTTTTTATCCAGCCCTCTTGAAAAGCCATTAGGAGCGGTGGCATAAGGGTGGTAGGAGAAACAACTGGCCTACACATGGCTGCATGGAGGTTTCTCCAACCGTGGGGTCAGAAGGCAGGTAAAGAGACAGAATTCTACAGATCTTACCTCAACCTCCGTCTCCACCCTCTGCCTGAAAATTAGGACTTCCTCCTTAACTGATGGGAACCTCTGGAGTGACCGCCAATACAGAAGATACATTCAAATCATCCCACCACAAATATCAGGTGAGGGTGGGAGCTGGGGCCAGCCCGAGCACACAGCCGCTGCAAAGCAGAATACTCACCCGCAGGGAAAACATTCAAGCAAAGCAAACTGCAAAATCCTGGAAGAGGAAAGACATTAAAGACCTTCCCAGATTATCGGTGAGTTTAGATAAAGTCCCCACGCCACATAAGCCCGCATGGCTGCACCCACCAGAGGAACCTCCATTGCCCAGCGCTGGGGTCTGCACGCTGGTGGGGCGGGCAAGGGGAGCATATGGAGCCTGAAGTTTTCATTTATTTCTAGATGGTGTCAGTAATGCATCTCATGGCACTTCTGGCCACTTTATTGTTATGCTGGGAGAGGCTGTGATGAAAATATTTTGCTATGGTTTGACAGCATCAACTTAAAAACGTACTTTCCCTCTAAAAGCTGTAAATCCCCAGTGACTATAATTATCGGCTATGGTTACCACGCTGAAAAGAGATCAGTGGGAAATATGTATTTCTCACCATCTCTGCTTGTTTATTTTGTGCGTTTGAGAATACTTTGTGGTTAGTGAGTTTTATTATTTCCTGTTTCTGATCAGTAAGGCTTTTTTTCTGTTGTGGGTGTGGAGGGAAGGGTCACATCGCAGCTGGTGAGAGAGTTTTAAAAATAGAAAAGTGAGACTGCAATACTTGGCCAACAACCTCCAGGAACAGTTTTAGTACAAGACACTCATTTTTCATTGCCTTCATTTCAAACCGATGGTGACCTTTTATATGATCTCCCTGTCACGTATCCAACTAATGCTGCCGGAATCTGTTGCGAGTCACTACTTTTCAATAAAGAAAACATTTCTTCAGAAAGGCAGAAGATTACTCACAGCACTTCGTATACATGAATTGCAGCTATTACTTGTTTTTAACAAAGGAACTCCGTATTTACTTCAAACCCATCTGATTTTACCACAACCAGGACTGTACAAGAGCAATAATAGTTTGCTCTTCAATATAGGCACCTCTCATCACACACGCTCTGGACACAGCAGCAGGACCCGTACAGATGCTATTTTCACATCTGCAGCAGGTGCCAGCAGCTGTGTCTCTTTGCTGCCAGGGCTCCCACAGCGCAGCCCAGGACTCGGCCACCCACCACCCAGATGAGGTGCCTTCAAGACCGCGCCACCGTTCCCACCTGGGGCTGCATGCCCAAGGCACGGGGGGTTCGGAGGCGCAGACGGCGGGGATGCTGCACGCCCAGGTCTTCACCTGATATGCAGACTGGAAAGGGCCAAGACAAGCACCCAGACCAGATTCCTCGGCATGGGCATGGCCAGACAGACCTGTTTGCTAGAAGCGGTCACAAGACGCATCGCGTCTCACCCAGCACACGCAGGGCTGGGCCAGCCTGGTGCAGATCTGGGCTTTGTCCCCTGCCAAAGCGCTGTTCCAGACACAGAGTTGTGAATGGAGCATTAAAAAGCAGAGGCTGGTTGCTATGTACACGGGGACATGGGGAAGGCTGGACCCAAGGCGCAGGACCCCCACTTGCCTTTAACACAAAGCAATTGTAGATTTATATGATAACAACATAAGCCCAGGTGGACAAAATACCCACATGCATAGCAGCTCCCTTTATATAAACTGCACCCCCAGACCAGCTCTCATGGAAACCAACAGAACTGCCACCTATTTCTCAGAAAACAGGACCAAATCCTTTCCCATTAGGAAACTACAGAGGCTCATGAGGATGTAAGAGAACTTACGGCCCTGCCATGTTGTCTTCTCCCAGACACACACAACCCTCGGGGTCTCCGAGCATCCCTGCCTTTTCCCTTTCTCCTCCTCCCAGCCCGAGGGCACTGGAGCACCCTCTTTCTGACCCGCACAGTCCCAGTCACCCACAGCAACCAGGCCAAAATGCTTTAGGGATTTAGGAGTGGTGCTGAGCCCCTGTGAATCATTACACAAGAGGGCTGAGCACGCTGCTTAAAAAGAGAACACCAGCCAAATTTCCAGCTGACCCTTTTAACTGAGAGCTCACTTTGGCAAATAGGAGACCCCGGGCTGCTGACGTGACCTCTCCAGGAGCTGTGAAATGGGTCCTAATCCTCCACACTCACAAGCAGACCACCTTGCAAAACCCTATGCAGAAGCAATTCTGGGGCAAAACGTTTTCAAACTGATTCGAACCACACTGCCATGGCCGCAAGTGCTTGTAGCTCACTAGCAAAGTGCTCCTTTTGGGAGGGAAGTGAAAACAAACCCACCGACAGCAGAACACCAAAGACTTCACTTTCCCTTTATATACGCCATTATCCCACAACTTCCAGTGTATACATTCCTGTCTTAACAAGGACGCGCTCATATTTTATCTCATGAGAAGTAATGTTGTGTTGAGAACCTAACCCAAAGTCTGCCACATTCTTCAGAGCTTTCATATACTCATGAATAACGCAGCAGAGGCTGAAGCCAGTCCTGGATCTGATCTGCACCGCCGAGATGTTTCATGTATAAATCGCAGCCCTGGTGAGAACATGGCTTGCTGCCCGAGGCATCGCGGCAGACCTGCCAGAGCCTGGGAACTCGCTCTGCTTCCGAGACTCTCCTATGGTCCCTGCATTAGGTGTTACAAATCCTACTGCACATTTGGAGTTAAAAAGCACATTAGAGCATGTTCATCAAGTTTTCTATGGCAAACACCGCCCAAGAAAATGGACTTATGCAATCAATCCCACATCTGCTGCCACAGGGAGATCTGGTCCTCTAATAAGAGCTCAAAGGGGCTCTTCTTTGGGGCTGGAGGACTGTCACTTCTGCCCTGCCAAACACCAAATGCCCGCGAGGAGAGCTGGGAACAACGCCTCTTCTCCAGGGTCCCCTTCCCAAGAAGGCCAGGGCAAAAGGAAGGGCAGAATCTTCATGGCTGTGGGAAAGCCGCTCAGCAGGGAACAGCTTTGCTGGGGTAAGAGGAAGGATGAAGAAACCACTGCCGAGATATCCCTTCCTTCACTAGGAGCTTCCGAAAGTCTTCTCCCCTCTCCATCTGCCCCTGCCCAGCACCCCTTGTCCTTGAGCATACCCACGCAGCAGAAGTCTCCTGTAGAATGACTTCTCACCCAAATTGGCATAACGATGCCACCTTGCTTTAAACACACAGCCCACAACCCTGAAACCTTATCTGCGTAACAGACCTAGATAGTTCGGCTGTAAATTCATTTGCAGAGAGGAGAAACCCAGTGGCTGGTCTTGCTGCCCCATCAGAAACACTGTCCTGTGCTGCAGGGAGCTGGTTTTCCACCTTTCATAGCTATCCAATGAAGCTCTCGCCTCTTCACTTTTATCCTCTATTGGTACGGACATTTAGGGCAGCTCTCGCAGGCTCCTGGCACACTTAAAAGCACAGGACTTAGTCAGCTATATGAAATAGGGCTTTACATAAGCCACGCAGGCATTTCCACAGTCCTGGCGTGGTGTCCGCTTCGACCTCCTGCACAGGCTCCATCGGGGCCCCGCTCGCTGTCACAGCCCCGCCACCAGCACCTGGGCTTTGCACAGAACCCCAACAGGATTATCCGGGGACCCGGCCAGCCCCTGAGGAGCCATCTGTCACAGCTCCGGCACCGCCGACCCCCGACACAGCACACAGCAGCTCCCCCACCTTTAGCTGAGATGTTGGTGTTTTCTGAAGTCTCAGCGCTCACCAGGAGATGCACTCCCATAGGGAGGTGGAGTTCATACTGTTCTGGGCCATGAGCATCATTTTTGGTGGCTGACAACGGGAATGGAGCAAACCTTGCTGGAATCACCTTCCAGCCCTCACCCTTCACTCCAGGCAGCTGCAGTAAAAACATTTTTCAGTTAAAAAACTGTAAAGCCCTACACAACCACAAAG